AGCAAGACACCTAACCCCCAATCGATCCCCTGGGCGCATGTTTTGGTTGAACAAAACTTGATGTGAGCTACAAGAACACGAGAAACTCCTGGAAAGTGATAATGCACAAACTCATAGCTATTACAGCTTGTTTTGTTTTTTTCAATAAGGCCTCCCTGAAGTATATAATTGGGTTGGTTTGCAACATCACCCAGCTTGCACGAACACTCAGCCTCATTAGGAACCCCTCAGTCACAGCTGTCATGCAGCTGAACCTTTTTCTGTAATACAACTACCCCAGCCAATTTCCTCGAGACCGTATATTGATCAGCGTGCGCGATCAACTGATCTGAGCTGGGTAATACACAGCAGAGAGGTATCCTCGTCTCTAAAGGTGTTCTGATAATAGGTGAACATCCACTGTCCTTTCAACTGCAGAGGAAATGAGATGAGATTAACAGGGAGACTGTGATACAAAAGCCAACATAGGACAACACCAATTAAATGAAAGACTTTATCTCTCCAAGATGAACAAAAAAAGCCAGGGCAAATATGCAGACTTTGTCATTGTTTAAATAATGTCTGAACCTAACAGATAACTCCCTGGCTGTAGTGTGTGCCCTTGTTCTGTGTCAATTTCACAAACATTTGATACTAAGCAGAAAACACAAGCAGTCTCAAGATGGAGGGGGGAGGGGGGAGGGGGAGGGGGGGGGGGGGGGGGGTATGGGGGGGATTCCTAAAAGAAAACCTAGTACGTTGACAAAGAAAACCTTAAGAATGTAACTTTCAGAAGGTGAAACAAGAATGCGGATGAAATGTGTAAATAGGGTTGATTAAAAATAAGTGTCGAAAATAGAAAGGAAAATCTTTACTTTAAAAAAAAACCGTCAAGTTCTAAGAAATGTACTCTTTGAATTTATTTTTGTGTCAGATTGTTCCGAAAAACTTTTACTCTATTTCTAAGAAAAGTTTCAACTGAATGACCATCAAGTAAAAAGTAATAATATATTTTCCTTACACACTGAATTATTATTTTTTTTAAATGGGGCGTTTATTTACACAAAGTGCAAATAGAGTGGTGCAGGTATGACGTCAGAACCCAGAAGAGTAATTCCTTCCTCCGCTGGTTCCTTCGAGATTTTCCTATGGGGTTTTATAATGGGTTTTTTCCATCCATCTTTAACCGCTTATCCAGGTTGGGTCGCAGGGGCAGCAGCTCCAGCAGGGGACCCCAAACATCCCTTTCTCGAGCCACATTACCTAGCTCTAACTGGGGGATCCCGAGGCATTCCCAGGCCAATGTGGAGATATAATCTCTCCACCTAATCCTCTTCGGTCTTCCCGAGGCCTCCTTCCAGCTGGACGTGCCTGGAACACCTCCCTAGAAAGGCGCCCAAGGGGCATCCTTACCAGATGTCCAAACCACCTCAACTGGCTTGACGATAACTTGACGATACTTTGACTTGATCTCCTCCACGCTCTCTCCCGCCTTCACTAACTGCAAGTAAATCAATAACTAATTGTGATTGGAGGGTAGTTTTGTTCTCCAAAATATACTATGATGAGATTGGCTACCTTTGATTAGGCTATTCTCGCATGACGGAAGACTACTACTTGCTTCTATGATCACCTTCAAAAACATGATTTTTTAATAATAAGTTGGGACACTAAAAATAGAGCTGTCCCTGCACAGTTTAGTACATTTGTCAACCAATCAGATTCAAGCATTCAACAACTCCGTCTGGTATAATTGTTATTATTGCATACTGTTTTATAACATACTACAATACATTGAGGTGCAAATAGTATCTGCCACTATTTGTGCTAAGTATAAATATCTAACAACTATGTACACAGTGCAATGAAAATACTATTTTCACTAGTGCAAATAGCCGCTGCCTTTTTAAAAAATATATTTTTCAAGGTTCAAGGATCCACATCTGCTGCACACCTCACCTACCCTCATTGTCTGGTCTACTTTATGAGAAAAGGACTACTTACCGTTCCAAAGCTCTGACGTTTCTCTAGTGTGTTTCCATCTCCTTCGTTTCTCCATCGCCAGTGTTGTCTACCAGTGCCCCTCAAAATACCAGTCTACTCACCCCAGTCCACATCAACGATCTTCTTCATCACCTGCAAAGACAGTAAACCCAAGTTATTTCCTGGTGAACAGCCTGGTGAACTGAGGCAGAAAAATGGTCCATCTTATTGGGCAAGACTGACTTAGGGGGAGCGAGCAGCCCACCCTGGGTGGGGTTAAGCTGCCTAGCAATGGATGGCTCGATAGCGGGGGGGTCACCCATGCCAAGAGCCGCCATATCCTTCACCTCAAAGCCCGTGAGACCATGCTTGAGATCGAGCGGGTCGCTCCAGCTGTGCCTCATGTGCTTAGCGCCCGCTGGAAGGACGGGGAAGAGTTGTTTCCTCGAACCGGGAGGGGGTCCCAGCACTTTCCCATCGTAAATGTCCCTCTCCTGGTCGGTGGCGCTCTGTGGAGCCGGCCACTCGATGTTGAACCGAGTGGCCGCTCGCTCACACACTTCCAGAAGAATAGACTGAGGCAAAGCCGCGAGGGCGTAGGCCTGGGAAACGCCAGAGGGCGAGATGGCCTCCTCGTCCTCTGAGATCCCAAGAAGGGCCGCGTCATCCTCATCCTCATCGCCGGAACCGGCCGGTTCGTCGATGAGCGGGAGGTTGCCCACGAAGATGTCATCTTCGGGAAACGCAGGATTGGGCTGGTCAGCCGAGATAAGTGAAGTGGCGCCCCGGGAGGCCCCCTGTAGTGCGTCGGCGTCAACCTGTACCGCATCCCAGTCAGAAAGGCCGAGCATGGCGCACTGGGTTGCTGCGACTTTTATTTGGCGTCGCAAAAGCTTTTTGGGAAAGGTAAGGCACTGACTGCAATTCTTCGGGTTCTCCAAGGCTTCTTGAGCGTGTTTGAGGCCAAAGCAGACCACGCAGAAAGAGTGAAGGTCCTTTGCGGCGATCAGCGCACCACACGCGGCCGGGCAGGCCTGTGATAGGCTGTTCCCCCGAAAAAGCGGCAGATTTAGACAGCGACATACCGGTGAAAAACTCCGAAAAATCCGTGGCGGGCAGCCGTGGAAGGAGGAGCAGGTGAGAACGGCGAGAGCGTGAGCGGCTCCGGATGCAAAACACAGCTAATCAGGCTGAATAAACGACTGTCACGTCTGGCGCAGGCCTATCTGGCGATATGTCCTACTAAAGACACGCAAGTGAGTAGTGAAAATCCAACCAAACTGTGTAAGTGCAGAGATCGCGAGAAGCGAATGTCGACTGGAGAACAGTAGCGCTTCCAGGCGTTATATGCCCCTTGGTAAGCGGGTGGGCCTTACCTGGCATTGGCTGAGCGCTTCTGTCTGTCTAGCCAGACTTGGTGCAATTGGATGCTACTGCAGAGGTCAGGTACGGATGCCCTTCCCATAGGTGGATCTCGAACAAGAGATGATGAAAGAGAACTCGGATTTGCTTTCCTGCATTTCCCATTGCTGTGATAAAAAATCTAAGTTTCTCCACTAACCACCTGTTTTGAGTCCGTGATTCTGTCACAGAAAGAGGTTCTTGAGATTAGTAAAAAAAAAAAAAAAAAAAAAAAATTAATAAACTGTTAACTGAAAAGTTCTTTGGGTCAACCAAAATGATTATTCTATGGCATTGCGGTGAAAACATTTTTATTTGAATTTTAGTTCTACAAAAAAATCATCATCTGTAGGTGACAGAAATAAATTACCAGGATCTAAAGGTTGGATGGTCAGTCACCTTTGTAAGAAGACCCCATTTCATGAGTTCCCTTTTTGAGATGAAGAAGAACCTTGTCTTATCCTTCTGTTTTCTGTCAGAGAATCGTGACAATGCAATAAGGCGGTCAGCTTTTTTAAATGTCATGGTGCCGTTTCAACATTCCTGAGACGTCCGTGGTTCCACATGAGCGTGAAATGTAACAGGGGATGAAGGAGGGTGCTTTGTACACTCTCCGAGCCAGGTGACTAAAGCAAGGAGAATCACATATCTTCAAAGCTTATGAAAATAAAGGGGATTTTCCACAAATGCCACAAAATTACCCGAGCTTTCTTTAGGGGGGATGTAGATGATGGTTTTAAATAAGTTGACAGAGAAATACCCTTCTCATCACTTATCATTTATCACTGGTATCCTATCAAACTGTGAAATGTCAAGGTCAATTTATCATTAATAATGTACAAAATACAGTACCGGATGTCAATATTGTCATATATACCTCTGTAAGAAGAAAACACATTGCTTTTGCTGAATCGCCCTATGCCAGATGAGCGTCGCTCGCAGCCTATTCATTATCCTCTCAGATTCAGATAACAGTGAATGTTTCTTTCTCTCTCTGTTTAAAAAACTCTCATTCACTCTGCATCTGTCAGATTCTTCCATCCTTAATAAACAAGCTGTCAGATGGTTGAACCACCTCAGGTATTTGCCTTGAGAATTTGGCAAGCAATCATGAATATTCTATAACCTACAATCTGAGTTATTCAGTATCAGCATATGGTTTGCTCCTGAAAATGCCTTGAAATTTGTTCAGAGAACTAAAAAAAAACATGAATGTGATTGTGTTATGTATTATATGTTTTTTAGTTAAAGACACGAGAGGCAGGAGTAACCGTAAACCAGTGCTTGCCGTTTATTCTTTTACACTCGAACTCTACGGTGTTTACGTAGAACAATCACGTAACATAGAAGGGTATAAGGAAACACAGAAAGGTCAAGTTGCATTTCGTAAATACACAACATATTCCTCCCTCCTAAATTTGTAGTAGGAAAAAAAAACAATATTACTTCAACAGTAACAATTTCTTTTAACATCAGATACATACAATATTTTTTTATTTTTTTTTATTTTAGAAGATAATATATATTTTCTTTTTCTTCTTCTTTTTTTAGTAACTAGGGAAAGAGGGTAGACTACCTCTATTCCCAGACATAACCCTGGGGATTATTCTGCCCCATTGTTGTGGGTTTGTCACTAACTAGAATGTCAGTCTATTTGGAGGACGACGTTCTCTTTTAGGATATTTCCGAACAGTAGGTACATTCACAGTTACAGTCTCTTTTGCAGGGATTTGGTTTGACAGGGGCACTGACTGACTTGTACCTGGAACAGTCTCTTTCGCCGGACTTGGTAGAGCCTCAGTCTGTGCATTCTCGAGGGTTGGTGTGGAAGAACTCTCAGACAGATCATGGTATTCTGGAGCAATTTCCAGGTAAGGATCTATTGTCACCTGTCCTCCCGAGTTGTCACATGAATTTGCAGCTAATAATTGGTCTACATGCCTTTTCCAGATGAGATGACCATCAGCCAGCTCAACCGTGTAAGACACTGGCCCTGTTTGTGCAATCACTACTGCTGGTAGCCATTTTACACCTTTCCCATAGTTACGAGCTAGCACTTTGTCTCCAGGTCTAAAACAACGATGTTTTGCTTTTAGACGTCGTTCCATCTGAAGATGTTGTTGCGCTTGAACAGTCTGTTTTGTTTTCAGGGGTTTCAACAAATCCAGACGTGTGCGAAGTTGTCTTTTGAACATAGCGGTGGCAGGAGACACTTTGGTGGTGGAATGGGGGGTGTTTCTGTATGAAAGTAGAAAAGTGTTGAGGCGCTGATTCAGTGATCCTTTACCCTGTGTCGACTTAAGAGCTTGCTTCATTGTCTGGACAAACCACTCAGCAAGACCGTTAGTGGACGGGTGATAAGGTGCTGATCGAATGTGTTGAATCCCGTTGGTCTTCATAAAAGCCTCAAACTCCTCCGAGACCAGCTGAGGCCCATTGTCACTGACAAGTTGCTGTGGCAAGCCAAACCGACCAAAGATTGAACGAAGGGCTTCCACAGTTTTCATTGATGACGTGCATTTCATTACCTCAACCTCTGGCCATTTGCTGTGGGCATCAAGAAGAACTAAAAACATATGGTCTTCCAATGGCCCTGCAAAATCACTATGGACTCTCACCCACGGTTCCTCGGGCCATTGCCAGGGGTGTAACGGGGCTGGTTGAGGGGTATTTCTCAGCTTTTGACATGCACTGCACATTTTTGCTTTTTCTTCAATCTCAGAGTCCAAACCTGGCCACCAAAGGTAGCTACGGGCAATCTCCTTCATCCGAACAACTCCACAGTGTCCAGAATGAAGTTCCTCCAGTACTCGTTGTCTCAATGGTGGTGGAATAATGACCCTTGAGCCCCACAGTAGACATCCAGATTCAACTGTAAGCTCATTTCTCCTGATCACATAAGGCCTTAGGAAAGGAGACATTTCTCCCACTTCCCCTCTGAGCACAAGATCCAATACCTTGGACATCACTGGGTCAGTACGTGTGTGCTTTTTTACCTGAGCTGCCGTTACAGGGGAATTAACTACCTCTTTGAAGTAGAAAATTTCCGCCTTTGTTGGTTCTGGATGTGTAGTGGGCAATGGCAGTCGGGAGAGCCCGTCAGCATTAGCATGATGTTCCGATCTTCTGTACTTGATATCATACTGATGCGCAGACAGAAGAAGGGCCCAACGCTGCATTCTTGCAGCAGCAAGTGAAGGAATACCTGAATGTGGGCCAAAGATGGAGGTGAGAGGTCTGTGATCAGTTAGGAGCGTGAATCTTCTGCCAAACAAGAATTGATGAAATTTCTTCACCCCAAAGACAATAGCAAGTGCCTCACGTTCAATTTGGGCATAGTTACATTCTGCCTTGCTCAAAGTTCGTGAAGCAAAAGCGATGGGTTTTTCCTCACCCGATGGCATGATGTGTGACACCACAGCCCCGATGCCATAGGGCGATGCGTCACATGCCAGCTGCACTGGCAGAGCGGGGTTGAAATGAGTGAGAGCTTCAGACTTGGCTAAGGCTGTTTTCACCTCATTGAAAGACTCTTCACATTGTTTAGTCCATTCCCACTTTTTGGATTTGTTCAGTAGCTCGTGCAACGGTTTCAGCCTGTTAGCTAAATTTGGCACAAATTTCCCATAATAAGTCAACAACCCCAAAAAAGACCGAAGCTGACTGACGTTTTGTGGAGCTGGCGCTTCCACTATTGCCTTCACTTTCGAGGGTGCCTTATGAAGTCCCGAACTATCAATCACGTGGCCCAAATACTCAACAGATTGTATTAGACAAAATATCAAAACAAATGGAGTTATTGGGAAAAAAGACAGATGTATTTAACAAATACGGGCAATTTGTGGTTGTCAAACGCAGTGCTGGGTAGTAACTGATTACATGTAATCTGGATTACGTAATCAGATTCCAAAAATTAAGTCATTGTAATTAGATTATTATTATTACGGTTAAAATCAGATAATCTAAGGCCTGGTTTCATAGATTTAGACCACTTTTGCTTGTGATGCTGCTTAAATATGTCACATATTTCAATCCTCAGAGTTGCTTACTGTAGTCATATCCAATTTTATTAACCAATCCATCTTGAATATGTCTTTCCATGATCAGAACTCTAATATCTCCTTATAGTTGAGGTAATTTCAGAAAAGCCTTCTTGTTTGTGTTGATGCAGTATCTGATTTATAAGTTCACTGTGCCTGCTCCCTTCGGCCATTTATTAAAAAGCAATTGTGAGACACAATATTTCTCGTCCTTTGGGAATACGCTTCATTTAGTCACCAAAACCTTTTACCCTTAAAAAAATAAAGTTCCCCTCTCTCACTCTTGTGTTTCCATCCAATCACCTAAAAATCGGATTTCAGTGCTCAGTGAAACTGGATCAGGGCCAGAGGTGCTTGAGGCAGATCTCGGTAATGCAAACTTGATGCCAAGTCTTTCCTTCCTAATTCTCTGCCTCATTACATGGGAGACTAACAAGACAAAAACCATGAGACCAAAAAGGTCTAGACACCTGGACACTCGTGACTGGGTTGAGACCTTATACTGTCTTTATGATGTTTCTACATTAATTTGGAGATTGACTGTGAAATGATTACATTATAAAATATATAAAAAAACATAAAAATAGTTTTTAATTACGATTAATCGCGATTAATCACAGAAAAAAATTAATCGATCGACAGCACTAGATCTGAGACCTCTATTCCAAATGTTACAGTGGGCATTTATTTTTCACTTCCTTTATTTTAGGCTCTTTCTACTTTCATCTTCCTTTTTATATAACACTACGGCGCTCTTTTGATTTTCATTTCTCTAATTCATTGGGTTTATCTTTGCTTTGTAGGAAAGACTTCAGTTCATAAGCAAAATATTTAAGTATATGGAGTCTATAATTGGTTTGATGAAAGGCGCAGTATTTCTGTAATTTCACTCATGCAGGAGTGCACCGTCCCAGCAACTACAAGAACAGAAAAACATGTCACATGACCCATTGAATAAAATATTTGTCTACAGAAATGTTTATAGCCAAACTTGTGGTCTTTTGGAAATATCATGCAAAAAAAAAAAAACCCTACAAGTACGCTTAAAACATTCACATATACAAAAAGATTCTTACAGACATATTCCACTCACTTCCTGTGCTTTGACATGCATAAAAAAATGTGATAAATCTGATCAGCAACGAAACCACATTCACTCTCTTCACCGGCCTCTTAAATGTCACAGTCAGGATCCAGGCTGTAGAAATCTCATCACGGTCAGGCCACGCTGTATGAAACTGAACCAAGCGAAGTAGGTGGATTTGTTACTTTTGTGTGAGCTCTAGAGAATTCTGGATTAACCCCTTTATTATATATTCACACACCACTGCTTTGCCCAACCAGCTGAATGACAGAGTAAAATTACCATGCATTGAAATTCCTCCAGTGTACACACACATGGAGAACACCACAGCTCATTCCACATACAATTATATTCTTTTAATTTATTGTCCATCCAAAGCTCTCTCTCTCTCTCTCTCTCTCTCTCTCTCTCTCTCTCTCTCTCTCTCTCTCTCTCTCTCTCTCTCTCTCTCTCTCTGTGTGTGTATATACGGTTGGTAAAAGAATTGTAATCATATTTTCGAAAGCCTCTTCAAATCAAATATATAGTATTAATAGTAATATTGTGAAATATTATTAAAATTTTTTATTTTAATATATTTTAAAATGTAATTTATTCTTATGATTGCAACGCTGAATTTTCCCTTTTCTCACATTTCCCTTCAGAAATCATTCCAAGACACTGATTTGGTCCTCAAGAAACATTTCTCATTATTATCAGTGTTGAAAAAAAAATAATAATAATTGTGCTGCTTAATATGTTTGTGGAAACTTTTTTTCTGGGTTCTTTGGATTTGTTGTATATTCACTGACAACAAGGAGAGATTGTTGAGAAGTGCAAGCATGGCCCTGACTCCTGTATGTATTAAATACCTGACTACACTTATAAAAGAGACCATCAAGTTTTATATCTGCTATTTGATGGTATCTGTGAGTTTACAGCTTTCCAAAAGCCTTTAGTTTTAACAACAAGAGTCTCAGATGCATCATGAGACCATTAGCCAAGCCTCGTGGGAAGTTTGGTCCACACCAGCTATGCATTATCCAGTATATGTACGGGTTTTTTTTTTAAAGTTCCCCTGTAGTCAATAATTTTATCCCTTAAAGGGGTCATATAATGGTACATGCACTTTTACAAGTTGATTGTACTGAAATGTGTGTTGGCAGTGCCTGTACACAACCATCATATAATGATAAAAATCCATCCAGTGTTTTTGTTTTAATCTCCTTATGTTTTCCCCTGCCTCAAATCAAGCCGTTCGACCTTGTGACGTCACACGGTCGGAAGCCCCTCCCACGATTGTTGATTGACAGGAGCGTTTCAACACAGACCCTCGTGAGGGAGCTGTCAATCATAGTCCGCGCGGACAGGCGCGGTCATTGTTGATATGCTGGAGCACTGTCTATGAGCAGAATGGCGTCTAAGCGATTGTGGTGTTCTGTTCTTGGGTGCAATAACGAACACAGCAGTCATTTTAATGTTCCTAAATCCGAACCGCTGAAGACGCAGTGGCTGAGTTTGTTTTCGAAGGGAATATTCCCCACGAGCAACGTCAATGCTCTCATGTTTGCGCAAATCATTTCACACACCAGACTGCTTTATAAACGAGGATCAGTATAAAGCTGGATTTGCTAAGAAGCTGCTCAAAAAAGGATCGGTACCAGCTATTCGTGTTCCTGCTGAATCTCCAGAAGAATGGAAGTGAGTGTAACGTTTTATTAAACTTTATATTAATATATTAATCTTTGCAAATCGCTAGCTGCACGCTTCACAATGAATGCGTCTAAGCCAAGGTTTACACTTAGGGTACATTACGGCATGTTTTCTATGTATGACGTTCTCAATATAATTCATAATCCCACGTTTATACTGAACAACGCGTTATGGTTATTGTGTTATTGTGTTCAAACGGTGTACACAGAACAGAGGGGCGGGGTGAGCAAAGCTCATTATCATTTAAAGTCATATGCACTGAAACGGCATGCTGAAAACAGAGCTGTTTTTGACCAAGTAAAATAAGTGTTTTCTTACAATACTAATGAGAATTTTTAATTAAAGTATATTACAAACTTTTAATTTAGACCCTAAAGAATCATATTAGCTTGTACAAAAATGGCATTATATGACCCCTTTAAAACTCATCTTTGTTCACCAAAATTACGTATTTACGTGTTTTTTCCTTAAAAACATCTTCATGTCTTAAAATAGCTTGAATGTAACTCTATACCCTTGAGGGTTCTATGAATATGCAGATTAGCCCCGCCTTCACTCACTCCAGATGACGCGTTGTTGTGATTGGTTACAGGGTATTTGTCACGTCAGAAACACCAGCGATTTTCGATTTTTGAGACTGTCTTTGGTTCACTGCAGTTTTAAGGAGAAAATACTCAGCAATGGTGTTGACTTGTGAATTTGCACATGGTGTGTCTTAAAGCATATTAAAAACACCACAGGGGGACTTTAATTCAATTTTAAGAGTCAGAAATAAGACACAGACATCTGAAATTCTGTGATAAAATATTCCCCTGAAATATCCCTATAAATGCCTGGAGGAAAAGAAAAAAAGATCAGAGACCGACGGGACAGTATGCGGGTGCTCCTCTGCTGCTGACTGTATTTTATTATGCATCCTAAGGAATATTGTCCATAACTGATGAACATTAATGAGTACCTCCACTTATTGGCAAATGAAAGAAAAACAAGGCCAATAGCAGGGTCTCTCAAACTAAACACCCTTCATAAGCCTAAACTGTTCATAGACTGTTACTTTAATCCATTGACTTTTAGCAAATTGTTTTTTTTGCCACTGATATACAGTATATATATATGCAATGTTTTATGGGAATAGTAGTTCCTTCCCTTATGTTGCGGGTCAATTTGACCCGTTTCGATTTTCTAGTTGTTGGAAATACTGGTTAACCTTTGTTTTTTTTCTTGATATTTTGTGACTTTTTCTCATTTTTCATGATGAACATGCATGCAAAGTTTCAACATGCTGATGTGTTTTGACATATACAAACAAAATTACTATTACGTTCGTGATGTTCGCGGGTCAATTTGACCCTCATAGGCAGCCATTCAAAAGCAACTGTACAGACACAAAATAAAAACATTTATTTTCTGTATGTAAGGACACTTCAACTCCAGTTCTAACGTGCAAGTGTATCTAAAAGTGATCTAACTAAACACACTTGAAAAAGCTAAAATCACAGTGTTTAGAATTATTTGCAAATTACAGATGAAAATCTTTGTCAGACACAGATAGTAAAATAAGCTCTCATTTCAATAGTCAAATTATCTAAAATACCAAGCTTTTACCAAAACTTTTATGTAGGATTTTCAAAGGCAGCTTCACAGAGCCAAAAAATGAATAAAAAACATTTATTTGATGTATGTTTTTGTTATGTTTGGATTCTCACTTCACTGTGAGTTAATAACTAGGTCTTAGGAAATTAGGGAAAGTTAACTTAGGAAAATTAAAAAATTTCATTATACAGCAAAATTTTATTGTTCAGTTACGATGTTCAAAGCATAAAATGTTAAAAAAAAAAAAAAAAAAAAGGAAAAAAAAATTATATGCAAAAAAAGTCAGTATACTGTTTATTTTCCAATTTTGTCAAAAATTGGTTTAAAAACATTTTTATAAATCATATTTTCAGATATAATGTTTTTGTAATGTTTGACAAATGTTGATATTAAAAGTTTACAGTATGTATCTAAATCTTTGTTGTTTTATAGTGTGATTTTTGAGGAATTGTATTGAATCCAATTAGGGTCAATTTGACCCGCTCCATAAAGGGTGTACACAGAATTCGAACAGTGCAGGGTTAAAGGATATTAAATCTTTGTATACCTTTGCATTTTGTTCCTTTTGCTTTGAATCAAATGTTACAATGTTATGGTTATTTGGATGGATTTGATGGTTTGGTTCAAGGCTTTAAACTTATTTGAAGAAAATCAATGAAAAGTACTTGCAGAACGGGTAAAGTGAAGTACATTAAAAGCAGCAAGCATGATTAGTCCCACATTTCTAATTATATTTGACGTATCAAAATGTGAGGGTATGAAAAATGTTTTAGCAAGACTTAAAAATGAAAGAATAAATGCCCACATTCATTGATAACCTGTAATTATTTGCTGCATGAGGACCCAGCCCTTAGCAATTGACATTTAAAAGTAAGCTAACTAAAAAAAGCACATCGGATCCATTACCTTTTTTGCTCATTTGTTTCCCAGAAAACATGGATATATGGATTTTGAGACTACATGACATTTAGTGTTTCAAAGAAAGAGCACGAGACAGAATTCTGCTGAACACATGGCAGTAAATCCGCTAAATCTCTTGACATTAAATAAGCAAAGTTGTAAATAAGAAGACGTGCTGGCATTGAAATGAGAGTTCTGCTTGAAAGGGAAACAGCTCTCAGTGGTAAACACAAGCGCTGGCTGTTTGCGCATCGCACAGTCTTCAGCCTTCATACGCTGCTGTGACAAATTTCCCAGCAGCCCAGATGGGTCATCTCATGGCAACATTAGCAGTTTAACAGAGACCATTTCAATTATTCACATCCTTCTTGAGAACGTGTTGAAATTCGAGGGCTATATTTGCATAGGACATTCAGAAAACATTTGATTTGGTCAGCGTGCAGAAACCAGTGGAGACTTTTAAGTAGGCTATATTCTGCAGCGCTGATGACAAAAACATCCAAATGGCAGCTGCATGGAGCGCCACGGAAATCAACACAGATTTAATGTTTGAGCGATATTGTAATCAAGACTTTGAGTTTCCCTGCATACTGCTCTTTTAATTTCAATAATCACTGGCTCATGTATAAAGCCACTAAAAACAGACATGTCAAACAGACAGCAATAAGGATGTTCCAACTGTTTTTACCTAACAAGTAAATGGGGTCCATATGGGCGTCAATATTTTTCAAAATATTTTGTGCTCCAAAGAATAAGAAAGTCGTGCTTAGAATGGCTCGCAGGTTATAATTGATGTCAGATGTCATTTTTTGGTGAAATATCCATTTAATACTACTTAAAGAAATTTGCCTCAGAGCACCTTTCAAGCTATTAAAAATTCACATCTGATGAATTTAAAGTCAGCCAACTGAATATTCAGGGAGAAATTAAAATGTACATTTGTAGAAATCGATCAAATATGCTGCTTTAAACTGCTCTATAAAATGCCAATTACATTTTTTCAAGAAGCCAATCCACACACAGAGGATTGTGGGATATCATAGGATATATGCTGCCACTGAAAATCACCATGTGTACTTGATTTCCAAAGAGTCAGTGAAGTGCATGCTTGATATGAGACATAATGTGTGAAAAAAAAAATTCAAGGCAAATATAGTAAAAAAAATATATATAAAAAAATGCTGATAATTTTTTTTTACATTTTAGTAGATTTGTAATTATAGGCTATATATATATATATATATATATATATATATATATATATATATATATATATATATAAATCCTACAAGTTTGATTAAACCATCAAAATATGAGGACAATATCTTATATATTTTTTTATATTTCAAACATGAGAAAGAGCAAAACACTAAACTTGGTACAAATACACAGAAAAACAAAAAGCTCAATGGAAAAAGCATACACTGACTACAACATAATTCAGTTATTAATATTTAGTTGGTTCTTGCTTGTTTATGCATGTGATCATTTCTTTGTATGTCAGCCTTGCCAAAAATTATGTCTGCACAATTTGGCTTCACATTGCATTATCAAACAATTGATTCCAAGCATCGCGTATATGCTTACAAAATCTTAAACAAATTTGTAATATTTGAATAAAGGGTACATTTTCCTCGAAACATCTCTTTCGGCCACAACTGTATTATATATATATATATATATATATATGTATGTATATCACATTTGTAAAGCATTTAAATGCATTACATTGATCAAAAGCGTAAAGACATAATTGTTACGAAAAGATTATATTCCCAAAAATTCTGTACTTTTGAACTATTCATCAGAGTTTTGATTAAATGTATTATGTTTCCAACAAAAATATAAAGCAGCACAACCGTTTTCAGCATTGTTAATAAGTGCATCACTTGATATGTGATGGAAATTACACTAAGTGTAGTAGAAATGGTCATAACATTTTGGAAAAAAATGTTTTGAAAAAGTTCTCCTGATATATATAATGCTTGGGAGAGGGTTAAAAAAAGTGTGTTTCTAAGAGTCAACAGGTCAAAAAAAAAAAAAAAAAAAAAAACCTTGTTGAAAAAAAAAGACCCATACAGCCATGGGACCAGGTGTTTCAAGTCTCACTCTCAAAGCACACCATCCCTTTCAGCCAGTGAAACAAAATAAGCCCTTAAGAAGCTGTTCCTCCATGTTCCCAGTCTCGAACAGCTCGCTTACAATGCTTCCCACAGCTGAGGGCTACAGAATGACTGTCAAGGTGAGGGAATGAGTTTCCATACGATGATTGGAGTGTGTGTGTGTGTGTGTGTGTGTGCGTTGGTGCGACCGGATTATGAGGACAAAAACCATGGATACATACCGACTCTATGAGGACATACCGTAACTACGAGGACAGCACTAGTGTCCTCATAAGTCGAGCAGTGTAGAAAGGCTTATCAGGCTGCGCCTAACCACCTCCCGCTTTTTCTCAATATGTCCTTATAAATCCGTTGTACCCGTTTTTCAGTGTGTGCCAGAGTATGCTCAGAGTGTATAATCTCCCTCTATGTGAAATTCGACGCTACTGCAGTATCATACACATTTCATACACCCAGACCACGCCCAAGCGCGATTCATTGGTGGAACGCTGGAATCCTCGTCAGTGATTGGCTGCTGGAATCCTCGTCAGTGATTGGCTGCATTTCACATCCGTCAAAGTCAGCGCGCCTGCGCCTCTGATCTTCTATCGCAGACGTGTGGTGTGACCGTGTGATTAATCAGAAGATTAATCATCATCATGAAAGATTAATTAGCAGAATTCGAGCGAAGTTGACGAGCTACAGTGGGAGATTTTCACTTTATCACGAGGAAGGTAAGTGCGTTTATTTATATATTCTACCTTTATGGAGTTAAGTGTCATGAGTCAGACAGTTTTTAATAACGTTAGTTACATTACTTTAAACGTGGCCACTAAACGTGCTAATATAAATCCATAAGCAGTTGGATACTACAGTATTAGTATTAGTTGATGAAAGATACATCTCCATGGATGCTTGAGAGAATTAATTTACATTTTGAAATAAATCAAATCTATGTTGTCATCGTGATGACTGGTAAAGTTGAGTGGATGAATTTACAGTTTAATACAGTAAGATACAGAAATATATTAAATAAACAGAAACGAGACTAATGTAAAAGTATACTTTCATTAATGTAACGTTACTGTCATTAGAATGACTTGCCAAAATTATCTGGTTGATTCATTTTAGGGCTGGATATTAGCAGACATTTTATGATTCCATTCAATTTTAATTCACGTGCTTTCGATTCTATTTCCAATTCGATTTTACATTTATTATTTTAATGTAAATCAGGTGTAATACATGTAACATTTTCTAAAACTTTCTCTCTATAGTTAATTTTTCTAAGTAACGAGTTTAGCTTCATTTGATCTGAGGCGCCACATTAAAGAGTGATAAAATGGTATTAAAATGGACTGAATTTGAAATCGGAGACTGTTTCTTATCAAAAGTAACAAGCCTCAAAAGTTACCTCACTGATCAACTATTTCTGTGTAAAATGTTGTATTTATTGATATAGACTACAGTCTGACAATAATGTACTGTATATAAAGCATATCTATCTATCTATCTATCTATCTATCTGTCTATATATATATATATATAGGCCTATATATTTATATATTTATAAATACATACTAATTATGTTGTCTGGAATGTTTTCAGTCAACATGTTAAGAAAGAAGAGAATAAAACCTGAGCAGGATGCAAAAGAACACATATTGTCGGGCAAAGACAAAGCCTTCATTGAGGGACGACAAATCAACACATTCAAAGGTAAATTGTGCACCACAAGGCAATTTGACTATGTTCAGACTGCAGGCAAATCAAATCATAAAGTAGGCATGCACTTGTAAGAATGAAAAGTAGGCCTATTGCTGGCAGTCTGGACATGATCTTTCACATTCACACATTTTACCCTTGGGTAAGCCGCTCATTTTCATAAAGGTTAAGAGATGAAAAAAAAAACTTTAAACAATTTTTTTATAATTATTATTTTAAAATAAATACATAAAACTATGTATACAGAGAATAGTGTAACCAAAATCAACTAGTAGGCTATATCACAGTGAAAGCCAATGCTTGATTATTTTTTTTATTTCCTGCACCTCATATTACATTACACAGTTTTACAGGATTTAACTCTTTAAAAGGATAGGTTGGTTAGCTGTGTAACATATAGGTGCACTTGGATTCATGTTTTATTTGTATTATTAGCCTATATATTATTTTGCCCTTTCAGGGAGAGGTGTGTTTGCACTTGAGCACATTGAACCATCCACCTTTGTTGTTGAATACCGTGGGATTCTCTCTCAAAGTAAACATGTTAAAGATGTTCAAGGCAACTACTTGTTTGACTTCACATGGAATGGAACACGTTATTGGTAAGCTGGCTGTTTCTTTTTTGGTTTATTTATTTTTGGTTCATATTCAGAGCAAACTAGTTGCATGTCATTCTAATAAAAACAGTTATAATTATGATTTATTATTATTACTATTATTATTACAATATAGGGCTGCACGATTTGGGGAAAATGTCATTCTGATTATTGAGGTCAATATTGCAATTGGAATATGCGATTGCGATATAATAAACAAATGGTTTCATGAGTCAACTTGCTTGGTTCTAAAGCAAAATGCACACACAGATTAGTGATAATTCTGAAATGTGTATTTCTCAACTCAAACTAGCAACAACAACTAAATGATTGATAACATCTAAGCCATTGATGTCTGGATAAAAATTAATCCACCCCCATTTAAAACATTAATTATAGCCATCCAACATTACAGTGATTCCATCATTACAATTGAAAGCTATAATTTTTTTAAAAACATTTATTAGACGTCAAAAAATATAACAGCTTTTAATTTAAGTGAACTTCAAATAATCCTCACATAAACCCATTATAAATGACATGTCATATTTACCTGTGCCCTTCCTGTCTAACAGGTATGCAGAAATTTAATAAAGTTATCAAACAGTCTGCGACTCTGCGCTGCATAAATAATAAATAGACTAATCCTTATTAAAGCTACATAAGTTCTTTAGTCAAGAGCAGTGAGTAATTTTCTCTGTCCCCTTTGTTCTGTGATTAACTTTACTGACAGAAAGCTTTGGCTGCTGGCCCTTTAAGAGCAGCCGCTGCTGACAGAGACACGGATCTCACATGCGCCTCATCCTCTCACAACTCTATACGTCCATCATAAGACTGCTCTTATGTTATGAAGATACTCGACAAACGACATTTTGGCATAATTGTGTGTGTTGTTGTTCGTTCAAGCGCGAAAGAGAACTGTATTCTGGCGCGTCTTTCTGTGAGTCACAGTCGGACATTCAGCGCGCTCTCTTTTGACTTGTCTCGCATGAATGGTTTTAAGCAATCGCATGAGAGCATTATCATGTAACACTAGCCAAAGGATGACAAATAATAACAGATGCTGCGTTAATTGCGTTAACAGCCCATTGTTTATTTTACATAAAATCGCAGCATTTTGCGCCATATAATCGCACAGGCTTGACATCGCGATTGCGATTGCGATAAGATTAATCGTGCCGCACTATTACAATAGCAGATTTGCTAGGGTTCTCATAACATTAGGAACTTATTAGTTAGTGATAATCAATAACATGGTTATTGTTCAACTGGGGTATTATTTTTTTACCTTAAGTGGATCATCTGACCTATTAAATTCTTAGGAAGTCAAGTTAACTTTCACAATGTGTATTTGAATATAGGTTAAATAGGCCAAGGTTAGCCTAACCCAAATGTTCAGTTAGAACCGTATGTTTCAGTGTGTGTCTATGTTTTAAGTTTCTTACTGCACTATTTTTATCACAGCATAGATGCAACAAAAGAGGACGGTGGAGGAATGATGATGACAAAAATCCAAATTGCAAAGTCAAGACAATCATTGTTGACGGAAGGCCACACCTGTGTCTGTTTAGTATAAGACATATCTTTCCAGATGAGGAGGTCACATACAACTATGGGGATTCCTCTTGGCCTTCGCGTTTAAGGGTGAGTCTCTTAAAGACTTTATCACTGAAAGTCAACCATGTTCTGTATTTCATGAATGTTAGTTTTTTATATGATGCAGATTATTAAAAAAAATTCTGCACGTCTGCTTTGTGCATGACGGAGCCATGAAAGGGACACTAGATATTTAGTCTTTGGTTGATACTAGAATTAGTTGCGGTGACCGATTGGCAAGCATCCTTGCCTCAGTGTTGTACCTGTCTTTCTCATAATTACAGGAATTGTGTGACGAGACATCAGTGGCTGTGACTGAATGCAGTGTGAATCCTTCCTCATCAGTGAAAGAGAAAGTAAGTGAGCGCATGTTCCTTCATTGTTTTCTTCTCTTTGACACAGGCAATGTTAAGTGTAGGATGGTTGGGCATCATGCTAGACTGGTTGACGTGGACTGTCGTCTTAAAGACGCTGTTGTGACGTCTCAAATTCGAGTAAAATGTACATTGCTCGGTTCATTCATTTTCATAACTCGTGCGTTGGGGGATGGGCATGACACTGACCTGAAATATAAGGACAGTTCTCCACTACGAGGACCATCATGTCAGGGTTAGGGTTTGTGGAAAAGATGTTGCTTTGGGTACAGTTGGTACTCAAGAATAATACTTTTACCGCCGCCGCCCCCGCGGCGGTAAAATTCGGATGTGTATTTGCTGCCTTTTACCGCTAAGAGGCGCTACAATCAAGGTGTCAGTTTATTCTCTCTATTGCGTAATCTACCGCCGCGCCGCGACTCATTCAGAGCGATTGAAAGCTGGTAACAGATGAATTCAAGTGAAACATTGTAGTTAAACGAATTCATAATCACAATACTGAAATTAAATTGAATAAATAGTGAAAACATTACAACATAAAACATTGCAACAGAAATATATTAGGCTATCAATGAGGGTCTGGAAGAGCATAAGACGTAATTTAATAGCGTTCAGACGGTAGCTCAGTGGTTAACGCAACAACATGAGCCTCACGGAGCTTCAAGCGATCCGAGATCGAATCTCAATGTAGCCAACTCATCTCAATGTTGGCCGACTTCATTTATGTTTTACCGTTCTTGATGCTTAAATAGGTAACTGTTTATTAGCGAGTTCATTAACTGTTTATTTATTTAAAGTCAAGCGTTTTGTTTAATTATCAATGCCACATTAACGTAAATTTGCTACATTCCATGTCCGCTGCACGACAAAGCTGATGAGGGAAATGAAAATAAATAAAAAAAGAAAGCTGATCGTGTCAGAAAATGAAAATAATGAAGCTCGTCTTTCATCTGCTAAATTATTGTTTTGTGAATCATTCACGAAATTGAGTTGACTGACAGTGATACCTGGCCATAGCAACGGGAGAAATTTTTCAAAACAGATCCATACATTGAACAAATCAGAAAAGACTGATTTTGTTGACTTGACAGACTAACTAAATAGTATTACTTTCAATATAAAAACAAATGAAAATGTAAAAGAACACTACAATTAATTAAGTTTGAAACCCATCGCAAATTTTGAAGAATGTAAGAAACACAGAATCTTATTCTTGCAACATTTTAAATTTGTATTGTCAAAGGAATTTCAGCTAAATTAAACAATTAAAACAGTACAAAACGAAAATAGTCCAAAGCCACATAAATTAAGAACATGCGTTTTTCTTTGCCTGTCTCTCGCGCTGGATCTCTTTTTAGCAAGTTTATTTTGTCTCCCTCCCTCCCTCCAAAAAAAAAAAAAACTGTAACAAATTATTTAGCCTTTGTTGCTTCAAAGACAAAGCATGCCTTGTTGAATTCACCTTACAATAAAACGAGGTTGATCGCGAATTAAAGAGCTCTGTATCTGCTGTGGCATGAATGTGTTTAGTCAACAGTTAATGTTTAGATAATGCCAGATTGTTGACAATCATACACAGTGCTCAAACATTCTAAAACTTGAATTTTAGAATGTTGAAACAACTGGATTGAACACTTTAATTTAAATTTTGTGTGAAAACTTTAAATACAAAAAATAAACTACAATATTTATAATTTAATAAGATATAGGGCCTACATTTGGACACACGAGAGATTTATAAGAATTTAGCCTTTGCCTGCAGGCTGGCTATCCGACATCTCCATATGAAAGAGGAACATTAACACCTATTGTGCCGATAAAGCCACTGTCCCTCCAACCCCCCCACAGGCTCTCTGAGACTGACTTACAACAAAAAGAAGTCGCAATTCACACTTAAACCGCTATTCTAGCATTAGACTATTAAAGTGTTGATAATGAAGGAATTAAATAATGTAAGCTACATGTAGTGATATTTTTTGTCATGAAACTTTATTACTAAATATTTCATTTCAATAATTCATTCAAATTCAATAAGTTGTTCTTTTTTATTCAAATAAACCTCGAACCACAGTGCTTCGTTGTGCTGCTGTTAAACTAAATAACATTTATAGAATAATTATGAACTTAAATGAAACAATATAGCAACATTTCGACAAAAAATTATTTGATTTGCTTTTACATTTTAATTCAGGGCGATTTAGCCTACATTTAATTAGAGCGAGATTTTCCCCCTTGCCTTGTCCTTTCCTCGTTGGGAAGCGCTCACATCATAGCTAAACATGTTTGAGTAGATCATCTGTACCTCTCAGTTTCAGATGGATTACAAAATCAGATAACATTTATTAAATATTTAGACAATTAAAGGCTTTAGACATAGCCGATTTCTTATCGTGACTGAGCTGAGGCAAGTGGCTATCGGTTCATTTTTGTGACGCGCAGTTCCCGGAGACAGAGACGAGACGACAGCTAAAATGTTGTTAGCCTAATATGAATAGAAGTTTACAGTTTTGAACGATGTAGGCAAAAAATACGGAGTAGCCTATTAAGCTATTTTAGCTGTTATGAGAAAAATAAATCCAAATGAACGCGCCGCCGCGTTTGTCGAACTCTAATTCAACATGCCAGAATAAAACCCGACTTTAGAACAATAGCGCCACTCGGCGTGGTGTGCCAAAACACTTAATTATAAACTTCAATATTTCATTCAAAATAATCTCAAAACGCTTTGTGACCTTTTGGAAAAGCCGTGCATAGGGCCTACATTAAGGCCACTGGAACTAATGAACAACTGAAACGCTGGTTTTGATTTTATTGTTTGTCGTTTAAACGTGCCTGTTGCATATTTCTATTTTATATATTGTATATGGTATATTGGTGAAGTAGCCTATAACCTATAGGGAATCCCAAAAATTTATATAGGCTATAGCTATTTATAAATTACGATTGGTATTATTATACAGATGTAAAGTCATTCTGTTGGATACTATTTGTTCCAGTGTAAAATGGAAATGCTTGGCAATTTTATTTTATAAATATAAGCAAAAACTATATGGTGTAACAGAGTTTTAGAACTAGACAAATCTCTCTGCATTAATAATCGGATATAAAATGCATTAATAGGCTAATATAAAATTTACAAAAGTACCAAGTTTGTTCGGGATTTGAACCCGTGTCATCTAAATGATCGAACCGTAAGTTCTTCCACTCGGCCATGATTTTACTCTTTGTGAAATGACCAAACGTTTGTTTCTCCAGTGTGTTCGTTCACATGAGCGAGAAAACGTTTTATCGTTAGCATATTGTAGACCTTTTACAGTTTAAAAAAAGATGATATCTTATCTGTATGACCAAAAATTACGGAGTAGGCTAGCCTTTTAAGTTATTTTAGCTGTAATGAGAAAAAAATTAATTCAAGTGAAAGCGCCGCCGCGTTTGTCGAACTCTAGTTCAACATGCCAGAATAAAACCCAATTTTAGAACAATGCTTAGCGCCACTCGGTGTGCCAAAACACTTAATTATAAACAATCAATATTTCGTTCAAAAACATCTCAAAACGCTTTGTGACATTCTGAAAAGCCGTGAATGTATTAAGGCCACTGGAACCAGGATCGTAGCTGAAACGCGCTGCATGTTATCTCTCAATACAGGAGCAGAAGCGCCAGTTCAGATTGTATCGTTTGTTGTTTAAACGTGCGTGTTGCATATTTTTAAAAATATATAATATATGTGATATGGTCTATTGGTAAATTAGGCTATAGCATTGATTACTGTGGAGGGGGGAAATCCCCCACCAGCAAATCGCACCTTGTTACACAACCATGTTTTTAAAAACTCTTTCTGTAGCCTATATGGAACCCCATGAAGTTTTTTTTTCTATTTTTTTTAACATAACTGCTTTTGAAATTACGATTGGAATTATACAGATTGATATAAATTAAGTCAATCTGTTGGATAATATTTGTTCCTTTGTGTAAAATGGAATCGGTTCATTCATTTTCATAACTCGTGCGTTGGGGGATGGGCATGACACTGACCTGAAATATAAGGACAGTTCTCCACTACGAGGACCATCATGTCAGGGTTAGGGTTTGTGGAAAAGATGTTGCTTTGGGTATGTGTCGGCTGCTTCTTTATTGTGGGTAAGCTGTAGACCCAATATGCACTCTTTTCAATCTGGATATGCTTTGTGACTTTCAGTCACAGAGACGTAAACTGTTAAGGCCCATTCACACCACACTCTGGAATGAAAGTTGTGCTATGTTCAATATATGTTGATTTAATAAATAATTTTTGTTATAGTGCCACCATGAAGTTCACAGTGCTGTTATTTCCAGTTTGGATTCTTGTGAAGATTGCAGTGGACCTGTGTCAAGTCGAAAATGGCTTGGCCTTACATGCAAATGTCAGTATCTGCATCATTGTTAGAAACCCAGTCATACTATTGAATGGTCGTGCAACACTCTCTCTCATTTTCCCCTGAGACGAGAGAAATCCGCTATTTACCCTTTTCACTTCCTCCT